AAGCAGCTTTTTCGTTGTCCAACTATAATTATACTACACAGCTAACAAAACGCTTCTTCATCTCTATTCAATGAAGGGTCTTTCTACAAAATTTAACCAGTAGTAAAACAAAAACAAAGTTAATGATCCCATAATTAAAGCCGTTGGAAGATTAAAGGTGTGTTAGCAAACACCCGTTCGTCGGAAGTTGGGGCAGGTTTGCAATCAGAGGTCATAAATGACCGACGCACGTTGATCTACAGGTGCAATATATTGCAAAATAATATTTGTTTTAAACAAAGCATTTGGCAATCAAATCGCATGTGTAAATTGGTGGTAATATCATAATCAATGAATAGAAATATTTTGGTAAGAATTTAATAGAGAAAAAACAAGTAACAATACTCCTAATAGAATTCAGTAACTATACCTTTTATTGAGTATTAAATTCAGCTCTCTTATTATCATTTTTTTATAGAAAAAGCATAAGACGCACGCGATGTTACCGGCGCCCATAGCCAGACTCTCAGAGGGCTTGCGAGTGCGTTGCCGGCCTTTTAAGTATCGGTACGGTCTTTTCTTTAAGTAGAATTGGTTCGGAAATACTTCAGAAAGTAGCTGGTTCCACAAATCGGTGGTGTGCGGCAAAAACTGGGCAATTATAACTGCCAAAATAGAAGAACATAAAACTCATGTATATGTTTAAAATAATTTATTTTTATTTACACACAACTTGTGTAAGGAATATTTCATTTATAATTTAATGTGGTGGTGCATGCTCTTTAATAGAAATTAGTTAAATACATGGGGTACTGGGGTACATACAAGTAAAAAACGATAGACAAAAATTTGGAGCAAAGGTGGAGCCGTGATTCGACAATTTTTATCAAAATTTTATATTAAAACTACTCATATGTCTCGTTCAAAATTTAAATTTTAAAATTCGAAATTCAAATTAAACAAAAAGAGACAAAAAAGTGCTGCAATCAGACTGTTTTCGTTTTTATGCATAGATAAGATATGTATGTATTTATTGAAACCGTTTAATTGAAAAGTTTCTACTGGCTCAATTCAAAAAGTGTTCAGCGCCTATCTGGTACCTAATCCGCTAAAAACTATAATTAGAAGTGTAAATTTTTATTTTTGTAAATTTTTTGTTCACCATAATGTACTGTAGACATTTCATTATAATTGATGTGGTATTAATAAATGCGTGCTTTGGTGAGCTAACATTAAAATCAGAAGTCAAACGGCAATTGTCCCGGATTGAATGCATCACAGTTCCATATCAAACATTATTTTCGTGTGACAGCACTTTATCGAAGTATGTGTCAGTTATCAGGTCACCTGCCGGACCCTCGTCGGTTGCTAATTAGCATACTTTTACTCCAACAAAAAGATTATTTGCCCCCAATACTTGGACATTCAATACGTTTACACCAAATAATTACTTCGGATGCATTAAGGTCTGTTTTCTGTATATATTATATTATTAATGCTTGAGGGAGTGAGCAGGTGAGGTCGTTAGAGCTTCAAATGGAATGGATTTCGTATAAGAAATTTCACATTTAAATATTTTGTGATATGTAAAGACATTTTTATTATTAGAGTTACGTCAGCTGAGCTCGGAGGAATTTTGTTGCGCCGGAAATCTAGGAAGTTTTTTAAGTTAACAAATAAATTGTACGTAAAATTTATATAAGAATGTTTAACAGGCAACACCAGATCGGGTAAAATAAATTACTATAATCTAATAATAAGTTTTAATCTGATAAAATGTTTCATTTGATAATCTAGTCTGATTGGATAATAAAAGAATTTAAAAAAAACTGTGGCGCTACAACCTTTTTAGGTCTGGGTCTCAGATCTCTGCATCTGCTTAATGATCATTTGTAAAATATCTAATAGGCAAGTGATCAGCTTCCTATGCCTAGCTCACGCCGACGACTTTTTGGGTTTAAGGCAGGCCAGTTTTCTCACGATACTTTCAAATAAAATCAAAATTACGTAATACCACTGAAACTTCCTAAAAATACCACTTGATTTTGTCTATATTCCAGAGACTTCAATTACTAAAATCTTAGCAGCAAATACGTTTTAATTGTTTTTGTAAACTATTTAAACTAACCAATTCAGTTAAAATGAAAAAGCCGACAACACACTCGTGAGCTATGCTGGCTGTTCTATAACATACAAAACTTAAAAATTATTGTTATTCCATACAATTTATTGGCCGTTATAAATTCCAAACATTGCCGTCGTGCAAGGGTCAAGTAGATAAGCTAAGTCGCAGATTGATTCTCGGATCAGACGTTGGAAGCAGCCAAGTGAAGTCGATCCTTTTTCTCGATTCGCTGACCATTACGAGTGTCTCCTTAAATAGGATTTAGCCGACACTCTGCTGGGGCTGATCTGCTGTTTGATTTGTGACCGGTTATAAATTATAGCTCTCTGATTTGCTACTTTGAAGACAGAGATAATCGAAAATCCTTTTATGCGGGGCATTCTAATTGAAATAAACTTTGCCGGGTTTATCACAAATGAAACTTATGTATACTTGTGTATACACTAACAATACATAAACAAACTATTAGATATGTAAAAAATTCCAAATTATTATATAAAAGGTTATGTGTTATACTCTATAGTATTGCATTTGATAATCTAGTTTCATTGGAGAATAAAAGAATTAAAAAAAATCTGTGGCGCTAGGGTTCTCAGATTTCTGTATATATAACTGTTTTAAGATCATTTGTAAATCTAATAGGCAAGTGATAAGCCTCCTATGCCTAACACACGCCGTAAATTTTTTGGGTCTAAGGCAATAATAAGCAAGTGATCAGCCTATGCTTTAAAAACACCGTCGACTTTTTGGGTCTAAGACATGTCGGTTTCCTCACGATGTTATCTTTAACCGTTCGAGCGAATGTTAAATACGCACGTAGTAAGTCTGTGTACTGTCGAGGATAGAACCTACGACCTCAGGGATGAGAGTCGCTGAAGCAAAAACTGCTCTTGAAGAATTAGCGAGACGAAAAGAGACCTTAAGTTACAAAGAGTATTACTTATATTTTTTTATAACTAAATATAGTGTTTGCTTGTAGCAACAGTTGAGTCGTAATTTAGCGAAGTGCGAAGTTCGTCGCATCGGGGGGTACGCACGTTCCTTGGTAGGTGTAAGAATATTTGCTGTTGTAAGCCTCGAATATTCCGCGCTGGTGCCTCAATAAATCCTACGGAGTGATGGCGTTTTTGTTGGGCGACATTTTTCCCGCGCCCACAGGGCATATATCACGGCACAGCTCCTAGTGACTTATGCGGCTGTCTCGAAACTCGTTTGAAACAAACTGTCGTTTTTGAAAAACGTTCCACACTTAACACTTAATTCGTGTTTACGTATTTTATTTGCGATCTACTCGATTTAAAGATACAAAGACGTTTTATTTATCTCTAGAGTTTCTTATCCACCGCAATACCGCAGGATGCAACGGAGCGTGCTACGAACTGGCGAAATCTAAAAAGATCAATTGCAAACATTTGTGTACCAACAATGTCACCCTCTAAATCCGGATGAAGCGATACCGCAAATAAAACGAAACTTAACTAAGGTCTATCGGGTCGGGGAACGCTTTATAGGTACTTTATCCGATGTCCTTTCTGAAATGCGATTAAAATTGAATAGCTCCATATGTCGCCGGCAGCGTTCGTTGCGTCACAATCACACGGCCCGTTGCATTTTCAATTTGCCGCGAGATAAACGTGAATTTTGTACGTTTTTCTGCGGAATGGCGGAATTGATCCGGTGACTTATGGCGGGCGAAAGACGCAGCGGATGGTCAATTGAATGTGATTCTAATTTTATTTCAATGCGGAATGGATGCGTGAGCTTTGTAATGTTCGCTTGACCGGAAAATAAGTAGATCGGATGATACACAGATATTCGTCTTACATTACAAGTTGTGTTCTTATAGAAATTGAGCTGTGTTTATTTTCTGTAAATCTAAAGTCTTCTTTCATACTTTACAGTGTAGGTATTAGGTATATAATGGTCAAAGTAAATAAAATCCATATATGAAATATCAATATTTATTGATAAATTATTCGCAATTTTATTTAAAATACACAACTTCACATTGTTCTGATTTATAAACTAAAAATTTACGGATGGGATATTAATGGGCTGTTCTGTGATCGCTAATTAACATCTGTTTTAATTCTAAAATTTTCCATTTACAATAGTATTTACATTTTGGATTCTGATACATCATTAATGGGCGCAGTTATCTCTAAATCGTACACTTAAACTGCGTCCACAATTGACATCGATTATGGCCACACAATAACTTAATTTTTAATAAACAAATATTTCACGATACTAGAGTGAATTGGAACACAGATATCCAAATAATGTGACCTATATGGGATGAGCCTGGCACGAACTGACATCGAACTAATCACGATGAACTAGAATTCAGAATTTAAGCCGTCATTAGGTGTTCTTATCGAACCAAAGGATGTTAGCTCCCACCAGACTCATAAAACATTTCCGATATATTTACAAATTATATGATTAACACTACTCATATAAATTACTATTGCATCTCAATAAAGTCTACAAATCAAATTTACAAAACTGTCAAACTCTGAACACATCACAATTCCTAGAGCGAACAAAGTTTAAATAAAACAATCTATACAAGAACGGAATATAACTTATATTTACAAAATACACATGATAACAATACCGATATTAATCTAAACGGACATTAGACTTACCTATGTTTTAATACTGTACAATTTCTCTATTTGTAAAACACTCGGGGAAGCGTAAAACGCGTTGAAAAAATGGGAGTTTTGTATGAGATATGTTCGCAAACATCAATTCTGTTACAGTCTTATTAATTAAGTGATGTGTCAAAGTGATTCAGTACATCAGCTATGTTTGTGAAATCACAGTAACTATTGTGTCGCCGTCTAAGCTCGGCTTCTTGACGATTTAAATAATTATACTCGTAGACTTATCACGTATACTCACTCCTCCAGCCAGTCTGGAAAAGAAGAAAGAAAAAATTAAAGCCAAATATTCATGTCACTACTTATTGTGTGTCAAACACATACAATGTCAAAAAAACTAAATTTACTGCCACTTCTTACATTGAAGGAAGAGGTCGGAGAGGAATAGAAGAACAACTATTTTATTTAATTGAAAAAAGTTAAGTATATCAGTGGAACTACATCCTTTTAAGGTCTGGGCCCTCGTATTCAATGGACAGAAAGTCTATTGGTACACAGCCGGGGATCGAACCTACGACCTTAGGGATGGGAGTCACAAGCTGAAGCCACTAGGCCGACACTGCTCTTCTATGATTTTATATGATCATAACAATATGTATTTTCCAGAATATATTATATTGTGATATAAAATAATCTATTATAAAATTTATTTATCTAAAAATATTAATTCCTAGAAATAATAAAGTATCGTACACAAATTCTTCCTACTGCATAAAAATAAATACTATTTCAACTTACCATTGAATTAAGCTGCGCAAGGTGGTGGTGATGGTAGGGGTTATGAGAGGCAGGTGGTGGGGCAAAACCCTGGTGCGGCGCCCCATACCAGTGGGACATGTGAGCCGCCGCTGGATGCACTAAGCCTACTTGGTGCTGACCTGAAAAATAAAAATGATTAAGTATGTATAATATAGGTAGGTATATGTGTTTTTTCAGATTTTTTTTTGATACTTAGACTGATTTTATTGCTCTTGTGTTTCTTGTGAACATCCATATCGTAATCCATTTATAAACTTAAAACTTTACATTACTTAAATGTAAATGAACTATACAAATAAATATACGTATTTATCTAAAGCTTCTAAGAATATAAGTGTGCGTAAGTTAAAAACAAAACAATTAAAATTTATGTTGCACAACGCTATGTCGCCAAGCTTAGATAGAAGTTAACTGCTTTCTTTAATGACATTGTTACCAGTACCCATTAAAAAGATTGTATAAAAATACTAACCAAAGTCCATAGCTGATGGAAATGACCCGCCAAAACCTTTCGAACCGTCTCCTAAAGGTTTGATCATGTCTCCCATGACGCCCCCCAAAGCGAGGGCACACGCCCCGCCTCCCCCCATTCCCATTCCTCCTTTCTTCTTTTTGCTCTTACTGCTTAGCTTGCGATTTCTCGTCTGGATGCCTTCTTTCTTCATCGTCAACGGCCGGTTTACCTATAACAAGAAATTGTATATTAATTATGTTAAAAGGTAATTTAATCTTTATCCAAAAATAATTATAATACTTCAATCTACTAAGGTAACACGAAGTCGAAATCTTTGTACCGTGATGGGTGATAACCTTGCTTTGCCTTGTGCTGTCCAGAATAGTGGGCAGTGACGAGGTATGGAATCCATCCATCTACCAGCAAGTAATGCTAGGTGACAGCAGAAAGAGGGCGCGCTTTAGGACGAATCCTAGGGTTAGAAGACGAGAGAGAGAATGGGCATATCTTCTCCTATTTACTCCATAAATAGGATAAGATATGCCCATTCTCTACCTCCTATGTAGTGTGTACTGCACGGGAGGTTTTTGAGTGTAACATGGCCGGAGATATGAGTGCGACCCCAGAACCTCTGTAACGTGGCTTTGTAGGAACTACTCGGTGGTTTTAGTGGGTATTGCTCACCCAGTCTCTGAATAGCAGAGATCCTGGTGTGTTTCGGATCCTACATACCCCTGCAACTTTTGCCTGCGCAAATGCAATTTCCGCCTCGAATATCAAAGAAAAAACTAAGAGTAACACGGAGTAGTTTTAATTAGATACTTTAATTACTGTTAGCAGATAACCCTTTGTATAATGTTTATTCAATAAAAGTATTATATGTTGAGTAATGGTATTTTAATTATCACACTTAATTTGTTTAATTTAAAACAATAAAATTAAACTAGGTCCTTTCGCAACAAGTGTCGAAACATTTGGGAGAATACGACTTAATTATAAGATAACAATCATTTTTTGTTTTATTATATTATATTGTGAAAGCAAATAGAAACAAAGCATTGCTTAACAATAAAAAAACTATTGCAATTAGTTGCTACTTCACATAACACGAGGTTAACAATCGTAACAAGTGACGCACCAACTCCAGTTTATTACTCTGACACGACATTAAAATGGTATGAAAAAACATTCACAATACCAATTTTGAATGCTAAATAGCCAGCATAAAAGCAGCCGGCACCATAAAATGGTATCACAATAGTCATGTGCGAATATTTAGTCGTTTGGTGACCGATGCCGACATGCGTGAAGAGTACTGCTCGTGCATCCTAATGCAACGATGCACTTGATGACTGCTTTGTGGGAAACGAAGAAGTTCCTCTTGCACATTCAAATTGGTGATGTCATTTGGGTGTTCTAAGAATGGGTTCTGTGCCTTTCTGTCTGGATAAACCAGCATTACTAAACCAGATTTCCTGGTGTTACATACTGTGTATGCATACTAATGAATGAGGAAGATTTTTTCGTGACTACGTAAATTCCAAATGAATGTGTATGAATCTTTCTAGTAGTTGGTAAGTTTGTACAAGGAGTTTTTGTTTTCATCCTGCAGAAGAGGGCTATTCGTGCAATCTATAATTTAAAATGTAGGGAATCTCTGAGAGATAAATTCAAGGAAATTAATTTATTTACCGTCGCTATATATTTATGAAAATATGATATATGTATACAAAAATAGCGATAAGTTTACTACATAGAATAGAACATACGCATAATGTTAATACTCGGAACAAACGCAGGTTGCAATTTCCCCGTACTAAACTATCTAAAGTTAGTCATTCTTTTCTGGGAAAAGATATACTTTTCTTTAATAAAATCCCAGAGCCTTTTTTACCTCTGCCTTTTAATAAATTTAAGAAATGTATTAAAGAAAAGCTGTGTAAAAAGGCTTACTATAAAGTCAAAACAGGCTACTTCTAATTAATTTGCGATATTAGTTTTAAAATAAGTGTTGTTTGCCATAATAGAGAGATTTTTACGCCGGCTTTTTCTCTCGGCCTACACCCTCTGTCTTCGTTGCCGATGAGTAGGGATGTCTACCGATTCAAATTTAACGACGTGGAAAAGTGATACCTGAATCTTATATTCCATAATATTTTAGAATGCAGTCGTCAGGGGTTTCCTCCTAGGATGTCAAGGTAATGTTTATGCATACATAGGTCAAATATCTCGGTCAGTTTCTGCGTTTCCGAGAACGTTGTGTCACGACGGACGGATGGACAATGAGTTATTCATTGCCTTCCCTGGAAGTTGGCGGCATGTGGCCCTACGCATTCAATGCTCACCGCCAACAACCCGTATGACCTGATATTTGTAATTACAGCACCCATGATAAAAAGCTGGAACTTAATATAAGGAAATATCTAATTTTACACTAGTCATTTATGATTCATTTAGGGAATAAAACAGTAAGAACATTGCACATGTGTACATCATAATCAATTGCATCCTTAATTTCGGCAAAATTCCCAACAAATGCTGAACAGTGCGTGCTAATTCGAAATGGCCCTAATATCTTCCCGCGAATCGCCCACACAACTTGCCCGCATACCGCGCCGTCTCTGCTCCAATTGAACCAATATAAAATGCATTAACTGCATGCGCCGGCAGATTTACCACCAATTAGGTCATTGGGAAGCCTTCGCGTTCCTGTCAAATTGAAGGATATGCAAGGTTGAACTATTCCTAGATAAATTTAATTCACGCCTATTCTTTACTAGACAACAGTCTGATCTTTTAATAGATTTCTTCCCGCTATGACACTCTCTTTGCCTGTTAATAAACATTAATTATTTGCTGTTCGTAAACGGACTACAAAGACGAACACTATTTGAGATAATTTTGATAAAATCCTTACAAAATAAATAAAGTTTAAGTAGTCTTTTGATAGTCATCTTAAAATAAAAATGGTATTAAAAATTCAAGAATGTCCCCATCTTCACGTACGTACATTGTTTGCATGCGAAATACTACCTTCTAAGGTTTATATCTATAAGTAGTTGCGGAAGCCGTGCATCATATTGAAGTAGTTCTTCTTACCTGTAGAGTTATATAGTTAAGACATCCGCCATGTTAGTGCAGAAATTGCTTAATAACAGGTCATTATGTCAGGGTAATTACATTGCTGTGAGTCGATCTGCTCTGTATACTCGTATGTACATTATATTTATGTATACATATATAAACGGGATTGCAAGACATGTAACTTGACGATAGAAATAAATTTTAAAATAACAATTAGGAGAACTATTTTTGGAGTTTTGGAGGCTGGAGGCAACTGATACGTTCGTGGACATGTTTCAGTATTAAATTAAATGCGGGAGCAGTATATAATATCAGCAATAGCATCTTAAAGATCATTTTGGCGAGGTCAGATTGTCCAAATATTAATCATAATTAAAATAAATAAAATGAATCAGTGGGGCTACAAGCTCTTTAGGTCTTGGCCTCAGATTTCTGAATCTGTTTCATGATCACTTTTAAATCAAATAGGCAAGTAGGTGATCAGCCTCCAGTGCCTGACACACGCCGTCGACTTTTTGGGTCTAAGACATGTCGGTTTCCGTTCGAGCAAATGTTTAATGCGCACGTAGAAAGAAAGTACATTGGTGCATAGCCGGGGATCGAACCTATGACCTCAGGTATGAGAGTCGCACGCTGAAGCCACCAGGCCAAAACTATTGTTTGATTGTTTGGTAAACTAAATTAGTTTTCATTAACACTGTACTGAATGGTGTATATTACACCATACGCTTAAGAAATTACAGACTAAAAAGCATACAAATGAAATAGATTACAAGCAGTACATTTACTAAATACCAGAGCTCAGCTCTCACGATGCTATTCGCTAGAAATTTCACGAAGCAGACTAGCTTATCACGTGGAAAGTAACCCGCCCATTTCGCAAAGGAAAACAATCATAATTACCTAGAAATATCTTGGTCATACAGTGCTCCCACTAACGATACACGCACTTTGCATGCAACATTCCACCTCCTTGTACGGTAACACAATTGGGTAATGCGATGGAAAAGCGTCCATGCCATTATAGCTATTATGCCCTTGCAATAGGAACCATTTCGCGTTTTAATTGTTAGATCTAAATAGGAAATAGTCAGTATAAGGCTTTGCTTTTATTTGTTACGGCAATAATTGTGTCAAGATAAAAGATATGTTTGTGGAAAAGGATAATAAAATTGTCTTACATAAAATAGGAAGCCATATGCGTACTGTTTTTAAATCAATAAATAAATATAATTTAATAATATTAATTACACCCCCTTGCCTCTTTCCTCCAACGTCGATTTTGTTCCCTTTGGAGTAGAGACTCTTGGGCCGTGAGGTTCAAGTGCACCAACGTTAATTAAAGATTTAAGTTGGCTCCTGATAGGTATATAGTACCTTTGACCCCAGAGCTAGTGCTTTCCTCTCTCATCGAATAGTATCGCAATACAGCGAGGAATGCTGTCAGCGTTAAAGGCACACTGCCACAGGGACCAAACTTTTTAAATTTGTTTTAATTTTCTATTTATTAGTTCTTAATTATTATTATTATTATTACTATGTATTGTAAGAAACCTGTAAATACTTTATATTTGTGTGTGAATAAATAAAAAAATATGTTTTTATTACTTGAAAGCTGTAATGAAAGTTACTGAACAATTACAAGTTCAATTTTCCTTACCATAGGGGAGAGTGTTCAACTTTCGTGAGTTCGCAGGGCGTATTGGAAACTTTATATTATGTTTGTAATTCAATACTTACTTAAAATACTTGGATACGTTTAACAGAAATGCGTAATTTTTTTTTTTTATTAAAAAGTGGACACCTAATAGAATTTTAAATGTTTTAATTTAAATATAATCAATATTAATGAGCATAAAAACTTACAAATAGCTGCTATAACATGCCGCGTGCTAATTGCAACGACATCGATGCGTTGTACGATTTTCATCGCGTTTTTTATTAGCAAATTAAAAGCCTATACACGCAATCATCATGTTAAAATATATATGCGTGTGTATAATAACGTTTTCTAGATTGCACTATCTGAGTCCATCTGACTAAATAAAACCGCAGGGAAAATAGTAGGCTCACATAACAATACCGTGGAAAATTCACTGAATAATTTTTCCGACAGCTAGAAAGCTTCATTCTATAATTAGAGTTAATGCAAATGGTTCATTGTTACATACTGTTACTTTGTAGTTAGTATTTTAACATAAAATATCATGTTAGGTAATTAAATCACGTGGCTTTAATTAAAAAGGATCTAAATTATTATTTTTTTTAAAGTTTATATAATATGCATTATGCTTTAAAAATATAATATTTATAGCAAAAATTAAAATAGATGATGATCACTAAGTAAAAAATATGATTACCTAACAGAAGTTAGTGGGTTTTTGTATATGTTATTATATAATACATAATATAACTGATCACGCAGATGATAGAGCAGTGTTGGTCTAGTGGCTAAGGCGTGCGATTCTCATCCCTGAGGTCGTAGATTCCATCACCAGCAGTACACCATTGGACTTTCTAGGTGCTCATTTAACAGGCGCTCGAACGATGAAGGAAGACATCGTGCAGAAACGGGTTTCCTTGGAGCCAAAAAAAACGACGGCGTGTGTCAGGAGTCTGATCACTTGCCTAAGGCTTGACAAATCATCATGAGAGAGATACAGAAATATGAGGCCCAGACCTGAAAAGGTTGTAGCGCCACTGATTTATATTTTTATAAATGATCACGGCATTTAAAAACCAAAATAGTTGAAGTTTACAAAAAAATTAACAATTTAATATTTAAGTCCTCTTAAAACCTCTAGGCATATATGAGTCTACGTATAAATATAATCTCCCGATTACTTTGACAATTAACAAGTTAATATAATTTACAATCGATCGAAAAAACCTTGTCTATGGAAATATAATCGTTGACGTGAGAGTTTAGTTTTTACTGCAGGTGATTGATACACCGTTTATAGACATTTAGTCAACAATACAAGAATAATTATTGCGTTTATCACGTTTTGTTATATTTAAAATATTTTACACAAGCTGGTGCCCGATTTTACTCCAAAAAAGCATTACGCACTTTCTATTGAATAAAACTAAAAACAAAGCTAAACTTTAAATAATGTAACTAAACTAAATCAGGGGTTAATGTATATTATTTGGGTGGACTCTGAAAATTTAAGAAAATATACACAAGCAGTTTAATAATCATGATAAAAAGCCTTTATTTTACATTATTGGTAGTTGTTATATTAAAGTAACCAAAAATTTGATTTGTTAGTAGGTTAGCTTAAATTATGTTAGTAATATATATTTATATTATTTATTTAACAGAACCCCGGTTTGGGTAAAGGCCTCCTCCAAAATATACACAAGCCGTTT